TCTTTGACAAAGGAGCCAACCACCCTCATTGGAGGAAAGATAGCCTATTTAATAAATGGTGTTGGAAAAACTGGATTTCAACCTACCAAAGATTAGAACTAGACCCATACCTATCACCATGAACTAAACTAAGATCAAAGTGGATTAAAGATCTAAATATTAAGACAGAAACACTAAGCTTGCTGGAAGATAAGTTTGGTAGAACTCTTAATTACATTGCCATAGGAAAAGACTTTATGAACAAATCTCCAGTAGCACTGGGGCTAGCACAAAGAATTAACAACTGGGATCTCATTGTATTAAAAAGCTTCTTCACTCCAAGAGAAACTACCAACAGAACTCAGAGACAACCTACAATGTGGGAAGAAAATTTTAGCAGCAGTACCTCTGACAAAGGTCTACTATCAAGAATATATAAAGAATTGAAAAAAATCAGACCCCCCAAATTCAAAGACCAACTTAAAAAATGGGCATCCAAAATGAACAGACATTTCTCAGACAAAGAAGTAAAAGCAGCGAATAAGTATTTGAAAAAATGTTCAACATCACTGGTCATTCGAGAGATGCAGATGAAAACCACACTGAGATTCCATCTCACCCCACAAAGTATGGCTGCTATCAAGAAATCAATCAACCAATAACAAATGCTGGCAAGGGTTTGGGGAGAAAGGAACCCTTCTCTATTTTTGGTGGGAGTGCAGACTGGTGAAACCACTGTGGAAATCAGTATGGAGATGCCTCAAAGAACTAGTGCTAGAGGTCCCAGTTGACCCAGCTATTCCCCTACTCGGTATCTTCCCCAAAGAATTAAAAGAATCATACCACAGCGATATTTGTGCACCTATGTTTATAGCGGCACAGTTTGTAATAGCTAAAGCTTGGAAACAGCCCAAGTGCCCATCAACTGGAAACAGGACAAAGAAGATGTGGGTTTTTTTTTTTTTTAATAAAATGGAGTACTACTCAGCCATAAAGAATGAGAAACTAGAGAATTTATAGCTAAATGGATGCATATTGAGGCCATACTCTTAAGTGAAATAAATAGAATATCCATGTGTAAATACCAAATAGTTTCTCTAGTGTGAGAAACAAAGTGTAAATAAGGATTAAAATGAATAATTGATAATTTGAAATAGGAAAAGGTCCAAAGGAGTAGGGGTGGTGGGAGGGGAAGGGGAAAGGAAAGGAGGGAAAGGAAAAACTATGAGAAAAGAAAAAAAAAAAGGGAAACAAAATCTACATAAATAGGGAAAATAGGGAAGGGCACACAGGGAATGGGGAAAAAAATAAGAACCAAGATACATCACGTTCAGGTACAAGCACCCAATGACAAATGTAAATGTATACCTGAAAGGTACCAATAAAAGAATTTAAAAAATAAATAAAAATATTGGCTCAGGACTAGGAGTGTAAATCAGTGTTAGAGTGTTTTCCTAGCATGCATGAGGTCCTGGGTTTGAATTCCAGCGCCACAAAAGCAGACAGGTGGGTAAAAAAATTGCAAAGGATACAAATGACACCTTTAATGTAAACATTAACTACCTGAAACCCTGGATGGGAAGGGAACATACCAATCTCAGAGGAGTGATTACTTTTGGGGGAAGGAAGGAAAATGGTGATAGAGAATTACACAGAGGCCTTACGTGAACCTGCGATGTTTTATTTTTTAAAATCTAAGGGTGGGGTGGGGATTTAGCTCAGTGATTTTGACACCTGCTGTGCAAGCACAAAGACTCAAGTTTGATCCTCAGTATCAAAAAAAAAAGAATAAATAAATAAATAAAATCTAAGGTGAACAAGATCCCTAAGAATATAATTAAAAAATGCAAAAGCCCATAATCAGCAGCTGAAGCAATTTAGCAGGAAAAGGACAGCTTACATTGCATCAGAACATCTCTCTGGTCATGCTGAGCAGGTTACACATGGGTAAGATGAGTAGATGCCTTTCAGCAAGTATTTAGGAATAGTTTACCTTGCAAGGGGTATAAAAATCTAAGGCAGAGTTGGACGTGGGGGTGCATGCCTGTAATCTGAACACTGAGAAAGCTGAGGCAGGAGGATCACTGTGAGTTGGAGGCCAGCCTGGGCTATATAGTGAGTTCAAGGTCAGCCTGGACTACATAGCAAGACCCTGTCTCAAAAATCAAAATCAAAAACAAAAACAAAAAAAGTGTAAGACAAAATGAAAGTGGCAGTGCCAGCCAGGTGTGGTGCTGCAACCTGTAATCCCAGCGTTCTGGGAGGCTGAGGCAAGAGGATTCCAAGTTTGAACTCAGCCTGAACTATTTTGGGAGACTCTGTATCAAAATAAATAATTAAAAAAAAGGTCAGGGGATGTAGCTCAGTATGAAGATCTTGCATTCCTTCTCAGCTACCAGCAAAAAAATAACCCACAAACAGACAAACACCAAAAAAACTAGTGCCTATGCATGGCCTCTTACAAGAAATTTCATGTATCATTGAATAGGAAGGTCTATGACCCCAGTACCCCCACCAAGTAAAGG